TGAGGCCAGACTCTTTTCAGTGGTGAGTGGAGACAGGACAAGGGGAAACGGCCGGAAACTGCAGCATAGGAAGTTCTGCACCAATGTGCGAAGGAACTTCTGTGCAGTGAGGTGAGGAGCACTGGAACAGGCTGCAGGGAGGGGGGGGAGTCTCCTGCTCTGCAGATGTTCAAGACCTGCCTGGATGCCGACCTGTGCGACCTGCTGTAGGGAACCTGCTTTGGCAGGGGGTTGGACTCGATGATTTCTGGAGGTCCCTTCCAACCCCTACAGTTCTGTCATTCTGTGATTATCACAAGAAGCAAGCTTTGAGCCAAAAAAAAAAAACAAACACAAAATAAAACTAAAAAAAAAATCAACCAGAGAAGAATTCTCACAGCTGCTCTTGTAAAAATCTGCATGGTCATCCAGCGCGTGGCTTTTTGCTCACATTGCTGTCACCACTGCTAAAACTCATCCACTGCCTCACTGTGCTCACATCCTCTGTTTGCCCATAAACATTCAGCAAGCACCAGTGAATGTCAGTGGGCACTATCTCTCCCACACGGAGGAATAATGACGCACCTTGGCTTCAATTGCACTTTCAGGTCAGACACCGTTCTGTTGGACCGCCCCTCTGCTGCCATCTGTCGCACAGCTATGAAGTGCACAGGAACACTGGGGGAAGGCTCAACCAACCTCTGCTGCCATAACCCAAGCACCCTGCTTGTGACGTCGTGGCTCACATAATGAAATGGGAGGCTTTGTTTTCAGATGGGAACTTATACATAGGGATATACAGCAGCAAGGCAGTTGGAAAAAAAGCCAACACTCTAGGAAGTACTGTAGAATTAGTTACTAGAAGGTAGCGTACAGTTGAGAGAATATTCATGCTTTTCTAATCAAATACATATCAGGAACAATTAGGTATACCCAGGCCCACTGCAGACAAGGAGAGTCCCCTGCGATGTGCATTTTCATGGCTTTCTCCACACATCTTGAACAATCCTTGGTTTCTGATTCAATATGTATCCGTGCATACATATGTGCTTCTGCTGAACACACTCCAAATCCACAGCAAGGGGTTGTTTTAGGGTAGCATCACCCCTCATAACTTACTGCAACTCAATGACCAACAGAATTCGGCAAATAATGTACTATTTTAACTATTTCACTTGTTAGAAATATGGAAGTTCAATAAACTTGACCCCAGAAAATCTTTTTATGAGGGTTTTACTTTAATGGACTACTGCCACTAAAGGGGTAGGGCTAGTATGCACAAATAAACCAGGGGATAAAATTTACCTTGGATTCAGCATGAAGAATAGATGACTTCTCTCATCAGCTGTAAAGATATGACAAACCATAGTCTGCCTTCCCCTAAAGACCCTAGTGGGGTTTTATTTTCTTTTTTTAAAAACAAACCTAAAAACAACGCAAATTCTTGCATCATTCCTGAAAAGCATATTTGTACCACATCAACTGTTCCATTGGTTAAGATCAGATGAGGTGAAAGGCACCAACAGAACAAACAGACTATCAGCTTATCTCGAGCAAACACACTGCCACACAGGAGAGCAAACTGTGTACATTTACAGTGTGGGCAAAGTGGACATATGAAAAAGACAGGGAAAAAATCCAACAGAAAATATTATGCAAGAATCTTTGTCCTTGTGTACCCTCTAGTGGCTATGCAAGGTTACTCTGCCTTACAGTAACCAGCAGGCAGTTTCTTCACCAGCAGGGAGGGAATTAGCACCTGCTGCTACATTAGCCCTGTTACATCAACAAAGATCCAGAAGATCAAGGTTCTGAACAGTGAAAGTTACAAATCATTTGAAGCATTTAAGTTTGCAAACAATTCTGCCTTGTTAACTGAATGCAACGCTGCTATCTAAATTTTCTATAAAAAGTGATAATTCTCATAACAAGTACAACACATTCAGGGACTACACCCCAAGTGTTTGGCTGCATAGAAATTGCAGCAGGTCAGTAGATGAACTGAGCATTGGTTCTTCAGAAGTTCTAGAAAGACAGATACAATTTGATATGTTGATTACATCACTTACAGGAGACACAGAAATCGCATGAGACAGCAACAAACGATTGGGGCTATTCCACAAGCATGTTTTTAACTGGAAGAGACTGTTGTGATTGAATGTACTGAAGAAGTGGATTGTATCAGGAACCAAGACTGTCATCTGTTGTAACACCATGCAAGCAGTCAACTAACACTTACTTTAATACAGCTTAAACAAGCATAAGTGATGGTACTACAGACAAATCTAAAATGAACAAGTAGAAACAAAATTATCCTCTCATCTCCACTGTCAAAAAACAAACAACAAAAATAGTAAAGCCCACACAAACCACCACACCACCCCTAACCCTCCAATAAATAAAAGCTTAGCACTTTAGTCAAAGTACCAAGTCCACACAAGGATAAAAAAAAAAAAATCCTCATTACAATACATAGTACTAGGATATAAACCAAATTATGTTTTGCTGCCTGAACATGCTACCAGTGAAGCAAAAAAACAAGGATGCCAGAAGGGGCACAGACTGAGTAGACTAAGCACCTCATATCATGCAAACTGCTTTTGCTAGCAGTTATATAGTGGCATAAGAGACCAGCAATCACTCAACTGTTCAGCCTCCTACGTAGTAATACACAGCTTCACAGGAGGAAGTATTTCTGTGGCATTTCAATATGCAGTGTTGTTTAAATAAGATACATACACTGCCAATGTGAAGACAGCACAGGTTGAATATCTGCATATCAATTTTCAAAAAAAAAAAAACTTCTTGAAATTAAATTTGTGATAACACATGCTTGAGATGAAGACTTCAAAAAGTAGAGAATACATATAACAGATGTACACGTCCAGAGCAAGCTGAATCCCAGGAGATGTGCAACTCACATTGCTTTTAATAAAAAGGAACTCTTTTGTTCCACACAGCATATACAGAGACAGTACTGCCCAGTCCTCAAGACAATCATGAAGAAGCTTCCCTTCATTTGCAGTAACTGGGAGCTCAGCAGCAGAAGAGCTGGCTCTATTCTACAGATAGCACATGCGGTGTTGTTTTTTTGTTTTGTTTTGTTTTTCCCCTGGACCCAAAATGAACATTAGTGAAAAGCTATGCAATTGGACAGCCTCAGTAGCTCTTCCTTCACCCTATTCAACTGCATCACTTTTTCTAAGTGTAAAGTCAAGCAGAAATCCCCAAATTCTTTCTTCTGTGTGTAGGGTTCCAGAAAGTCAGTCCATCCATTTTGAAGATCACACCTAAGCAACTCTATTCTTGTGATTCATCCCCATGCCTGGGTTTTGCAATAATGTAGTACAAGCTTGCCATCACTTCCAAAACACTGCAAGAAAAGAAAACAAAAGCTATAAGATTATTCATGGACCAGCATATGCACAAAGCAAGAAGAAACCATCTAGGTAAATGTGTCGTGGAGTAGAGACATTCATAACAAAGCTCTCCATCATAACTGGAGGCATGATGTACTGTACAGGAAGACTGCTTTTCCAAGGATTGTATGAAGTAATGTCTCTTTAATTCTAACACAGACAAAAGAATGTCAACTGTTACACTAAAGTCGAGATATTACCAGTATCACTAGGAGCAATAACATATTTCAAGTGGCAGAAGTATATTAACTCTGTTCAGCATGTTTGGAAAAGATATTTTAAAACAAAAATCACCTCGTAGAGGGTCCCAACTTCCTGGTCTGGAGATGGAGCAAAGGATTGGTTTACATATATAAACTGCAAGAAAAGAAAACAATTGAAGAAACGTTCCTCCTAATTTCTAACCTAAATCTCCCCTTTTTGATTAGATTAGTTCCCCCTTCCATCACTCCCGAGCTGTGTAACAAGTGTAATTTTAATTTTGTATTTCAAATAAAAGCTTAAATGGAAAAGCATAAAGATATTGGAAGTACTGCTAATTGTCATGTCAGTACAATCCTGTTCCTGAGTCTGCTGCAACCTTTCTCAGGACACTTGGATTCCAAAGGGAGGAAGGAACGGCAATGTACAGCAGTGCAATGCTGCCCAGCTGCAGACATCCCTGCACAAGCCATCTGGAAAAAGTAATCAGTAGCATTAAACTGCTTGCAAAAGAAACTCTGAAGGGAGCAGCCATCAATATTCACAAAATCAACCCCAAAACTCCAGTTTTTCCCAAGTGTTTCTCCTGTACCCCATGCTTCTAAGCTACACGAGCACACAAACCTCTCCCTGGAACACACACAGCTGCAATCTGACAGCACAAGGCTAGAAGTGGAGATGGTGCAGATGGCACCTGGTCCAGCCAAGCAGGCACCGCTCCCGGGCGCTGCTCCTGCCCAGAGCACGCAGTGGGGAGCACAGTGAGGGCCATTACTGCCGCCTCACACCAGGCCTGGTGCTACAGGCTCAGCCCTGCAGGGCAAAGGCTCCGTACCAGCTGCTCAGATGCCATCAGCTTCAGGAATTTCTTGATGAAGTCACACAGGCCCTGGATGGTCCGGGTGCGCTCCACAGCCCACTTCTTGGTCTTCATAATGGGGGTGTCACCCACGGCCTTCAGCAGGACGTCAACTGGGAACGCAACAGCGTTAATGGCGGCTGAGCCAGGCAGTCAGGGGCCGCCGCCTCTCGCTCTCGCCGCTGATTGGCTCTCGCTCCCGCCCGTCACCAAGCAGTCCCGCCCCTCGCCCGCCCTCCTCTCCCGGCCCGCCGCCCCATTACTTTTCTTCTTGGAGTCACTGGCGGGCTCCTCGTTGCTCGGCGAACCGGCAGGGGAGGCGGCCGGCTCTCCGACGCCCAAAGCCGCTCCGCTCTCCGAGGTTCTTTCCGGGGCCTCTTCCCCGGCCCCGCTTCGCCCCTCGCTCTGCGGCGAGGCCAGCGCTCGCTCCTCCGCTTCCGCCATACCTCCTCCCTCCCATAGGCGGAAGCGACGTGAGGCGCGGAGCAGCCCCGCCGCCACGAGGCGTTTTGTCCCTCGCGGGACGCCGCCTTCCCGGTCACGTGCCGGGGGCGGGGCGCGTCACGTGCCGCCGGGGCCGTTCCGTCGCTCAGGGCTGCGGCTCGCCGGAGCGCCGCTGGCCCCACCATGATCAAAGCCATCCTCATCTTCAACAACCACGGCAAGCCGCGGCTCTCCAAGTTCTACCAGCGCTACGTATGGGCGGGGCGGCACCGGGGGCAGGGGCAGGGGCAGGGGCAGGGGGAGGGAGTCGCGTCTCGAGGCGTTCGCTGTGCGGGGAGGGCCCGTTCCCGGTTCCCTGTTCGCGGGCTGCGAGCTCACAGCCGCGCTGATCGCTCGAGGGTCGCTGCCCGTTGCGGGCGTTCCTTGAGTAACGGCGGCTTTCGGGCCGTTCTGTCCCGTTTTGTTGTCCTTCGCTCTGCAAGTAGCCCTGTGGTAGTCCTGAGGGTGGAACAACGCCTCGCTCAGAGGCATACTGCGCTCCCACATCTGTAGGGATCCGCAGCCCCAGAGCCTGCGGCTCCTTTTGGCTTTTTACATGGGAGAAGTCGCTGCGAGGCAGCTCTGAGAACGCAGCGTAAGGGCTGGGTCTGAGAGAGAGGAAGCTGCGGCCGCAGGGAAGCTGAGGAATATGCATAGCAATGTTTGACCGAATTCAGGGACGGGAGCTTTTAAAATGATGCTTTAATCCTGTACAGCTGTTCTTAGTGAACAGACTAATCCGTGCTTGGATTGACCTTGGGCGTTAAAATCGAAGAAAACAATGCATGCAGTTGTGTACACAAATAGTTCTTTTTCAGCAGCGCCCCTATTTGTATCTGTGGCCAGTTAGTTGCAATTTTGGCCATTACAAAACCTTTATTTACTCTTATTGGAAGGAATGGTTCTTGCTTCGCACATCTCAGGGTTAAAATGATGGCTATGGCTCTTCAGTTTATACTGCTAGGCTTGTAATTCAAGGCCTGTAACTGATACAGCTCATTACAATGGGTGACTGAATTTAATCTGTCTCCTCAGAGAGTCAGTCATCAGAAATTCTGTTGCATGTCTGTAAACCATTTTCATCTCTCTCAACTATCTTGGGTTACCAAGCTGCCATCTCTGATTTAACATTCCTAATTTTGAAGTTCAAATGTTGATAAGCATTAACCTTGTGTGCATATCTGTATTTCTGGGTAACTTTGCAGAACTTCAGGGACTTACTGAAGAAGTCTCACTCCTTACCCTAACCAATCAGTGTAGATGTAATAGTTAAAGTGTATTAATGAAATACCCTGGCAAATTATACAACTCCATCACTGTGAGAAGCAAGTAAATTCCATTCTTGTTTTCCATTGAAATCTAAATATGTTTTTGTCTTTTAATACTGCTGTGAATTTGCAGATTCCTAAGTTGGAGAAGGAAGAGCAGGAGGAAAAGAGTGCATGACAAGAGAGTAACAGATTTCTTGTGTGAATTTCACTTCCCCTCAGCTTCTTTCATAATTGGAATTAGAACAAGTTCTCAATGCATGAAGTAGTATAATACAACTGTGTAAACAGATAGCTTTGTAGTTTTGAAAATGAAAATCAGAAGTGAAACGTAAGAAATGATGTCGTTACTCCTCTCCAGAATTAGTTGCCTGTTGTTTGCAACTTTGTCTTGATTATCCTTTTGCATGTAGTTGTACATTGTGGCCATTTCAAAGTTTGAAATAGGTTTCTGAACAACTTTGAGAATAAGGGTAGTAAACAGAAGTTAATTTCGATGGCTGTCTTTCTTTCTTAAGGAAAGAAGACCCATCCTCTCTTTCCGTAGAGGTAAGATAGAAAGCATAGAGAGGGAAACTGAGTACTACAGTGGAAGATGCAGGCACACTTCTGGGAAATGAATCTGCACAAACAGATGTGCAGCAAAAACTAATGTGGAAGACTGATGGACAGTTGCAGTGGGGATTCAAGAAGGGTCCAGTGAACTCAAACTTAGAAGTGATGATCAGTAAAAAGAAAAAGAGAGGTGGCAGGCTAAGATTTTGTTCACAAACCCATTCGCAGTATATTTCTGAAAGACTTGTATTAATGGGATTGGTTTTTTTTAGCACCACACCGGTGCTTTTTTGCCAAATAATGTGTGAAGGTTTTTCAGAAGATGTTTGTATCTGTTCAGCTTACAGTGGAGATAGGAAGATTCCTGAATACTTTAGAGTACATCCTTTTTATTGAATAAACTAATTTGAAATGTTGGTATCTGGAGAATTTTCTTAAAAACAGGCACATTTTTTCACAACAATTTCTTTCACAATAATATATTCTTCTGCAGCTTAAATGCCCTTTTTTACCGTAGATGTTGAAATGACAAAAAAACAGTGTACAGCTTGTTACTTGGCACATTTAAGGTATCAGGAGTGGATAGGTACAGGATACTCGTATGCTTTATGTTCTGCTTATGTGCTGTGGGTTCTGTGATTGTTGGTTAATCCATTTTGCTTGATAGCAAAATGCATTTTCTTTTATAGAGTGAAGATACACAGCAACAAATTATCAGAGAAACCTTCCACTTAGTATCCAAACGTGATGAAAATGTCTGTAATTTTCTAGAAGGAGGCTTGTAAGTATCAGATTTAAAATAAATGTTCTACATTTGCAAATATTTCTGTTGATAGTAGCATACTTGTTCTTACAATTATAATGTAAATGCCATGTGGCTTGAGATATTTGGCACACTAGTAATAGGATTAGATTGATACCAGCTATATTTTTTACTAGTTGGAATGTACATATGTATTTATTTGTGTGTATACATATATGTATATATATGTATCAAAATTGCTTAGGAAATAGAGCATATTTTTTTCTAGAGGAACAGACACAGTGCTGTATCTAGTCTTACAAGTGGTTCAAACACAAGATGTGGAAGAAAAATGCAGATGATATCTAACCAGTTTCCCTGTAATTCACCTAAAGATTTCTGATTTTGTTTGAAGACCTTGGCCAAATCTACTGAGAAAGTGAAAATATTTCAAAGCTGATGCTTAGGCTTGTGCTCCTAGAATCTGAGTGCACAGCTCTAGTTGTAGGATTCCCCAGCTTGCCTGTTAGGGCTCAGACTTGCTGTATAAACTAGTAAGAAAATGTTTTTGAAATGTGTTACTGAAGCTTTAATCTGGAATTTTTATTACTGTACTGTGGAGAAGGGTTGAGGAAAGCCATACTTGTATCTGCTGTCTTCAGAAGACATGTACAGAATATTCTTTCTTGGATCGTGTTGTTTTTTTTTTTTTTTTTTTTTTTCTTAAAAAAAACATCTTACTTTAACTGAGCAGGAGGAATTCTTATGTGGAAAAGTGTTTTGAAATGCTAGTCATCAAGACTGAATAGTTAAATTGCCACCTGCTAGGTAAAGGGGTCATAGTTGAGAGACAAGCTCATGATTTCCAGTATAAACATAGAGACTGTATTAGTCTAAGTGTTCTAATGATGGAAAATTTCTAATTGCTGAAAGCTAGCATGTTAATGATACTTTATGCAGAGTCACAGTTAAATACTTGGTTGTACTCTGCCAGCTGTGGTTTCTTTGTCCTAGCCTGGATGATCCCTGATGATTTTAATAAAATGCTTTTTTTCATCTGCTCAACTTTTCATGCATTTGATTCTTGGAGATGATTCTAAGCTAGAAATGTGCTGACTTGAAAGCTGTGAGATAAAGAAGCTGCTTGGAGATTTTTAAAAAAGCTGGGCAACACAAAAATCATAGGCAAAGGATTATTTTTTTTAATGACAGGGATCACTTTGTAGTTTGTGTTCTGGCCAAAGGCCTCATTTTGCTTGCTGAAATTGAAAGAGCTTAGGTAGTTTTGACCTGGTATAAAATTAAGGGAGTATTTTGAGATGCATAGCCGTGTAGGTCCAGGCTACAAAGTACTTCAATTTTATTTTAGCATACTTTCTGTTGCATAGAGTGGATGTTGATGAGCTGAAGAATGTCTGTTAATGATGAATTCCTTCTTCAGGAAGGCTATAGCAGAAGAGTGGAAGGAAGTAAGATGTTTAGACATCTTTTCTTTGTGTTTAGTAACTGGATGGTTAGTGAGTTGCAGAAGGAATAATGTTTTTGTGGATTTTAACGTTGCTTCACAAACTATTGACTGTAGTTCTGTCTTATTTTTCATGATATCAGACGTCATATACTACATTGATGATTATGTGGTCCATAAACACAGTTTAGGGTTTTTCTGTAGTCCAAATGCCAGCCTGCAGTATAGATTTCTTCTAATGCTGCTGCTCTCTTGAGAAAGGTAGGGAATGATTCTTCAGCATGTGTTCTGTTAAGCTGTAAAGCACATTTATGTCTGTACAGTGCCTGCTAGTGTGTAATGGAAGTTTGTTTTTGGGTGAACCTGCCCAGTCAGTTTGAATTGATTATAATATGGGGGTGTGTGTAACAATGTAATTAATATCCATATGGGTAACAATAATGATGTTTATGTGGAAAATGTAACTTGGGTTTGTTGCTTTGTTTTCTTCCATTGTCATTATATTACAGAATGGGTGTTTGATTTTTGAAAAGCTGCAGCCAGTTATTAACAGTAGGCACCCTTTTAACAGAAATGACTGGGGTTTTGCTCAGCATGTCCTCAGAGGCTAACTGAGTTTTGTGTTTTCTTTCCCATTTAGATTAATAGGTGGATCTGATAACAAGCTGATTTACCGACACTATGCCACCTTGTATTTTGTGTTTTGCGTGGATTCTTCAGAAAGCGAGCTTGGCATTTTAGACCTGATACAAGTAAGTTTGTTTACTTTTTTTTTTAAAGTAATTGGATTTCTAAGTCCTTTGGAACTTCAGTGTTTAACCTTGTCTTTCTGTTACAATATTTGTAATGAAGGAGACTTTCATACTCTGAATATGCTCAGTGCAGAGTATTATTTTTGAACATCTGTAATTCTCTGGACTTTCTTTAAATAAGTGATTTCCCAGGTTCGTGATGCAGTAAAGGGAATAGTTCATTTGGAAGCTACTGAGCAGTCTTCAGTTACTTTTTTGCTGCAGCTTTGCAAGGCCTTGTTTTGTCTGCTAGTCGAGATGGTAAGTTCAAACATTTGCCAGGACAATTTTAGAGGATGAGAACTTTGATACATAATGCTGCTCATACATTTATGTGCATGTCTGTGTATTCACTACAGATATGTAACAAATTTAAAACAGCCAGAACCTGTTACAGTGCAACTTTTCAAAAGAACTGTCATGGTTTAGGAGTTTTCATTCAGATATGCCTTGAAAGTTGTTGTAGTGATTTTTCAACACAGAACTTGTTAATAAGTAATTTCACGAATTATCCTTACTGTTATCTGTGGTGTGAACCACAGAATTGTTTCTCACCCCGAAGTAGCATATGTCATCACATAAAATTGGGTGTTGGGTATATGATTTGTTTTAATGTAGTCTTTTAAAACTTGATTTGGTACTGATAAATTTATTCATGTATTTGAACAATGTATACTTGTGTTTACAGCTGCACCATATAGATGTGTATAGGATATTATAACCTTTAAAAGCTCACGTGTCTAGAAAATTGTTTTATTACTTGATTAAAATCTGTGATATCCTGAGATGCGGGCGTGTATGTGTCATTTATTTTACACTGAGCCTTAGAGGCCCCTGGGTTCCCTGCAAACCTCTGTTGGAGCTGAATATTTTTTTGTAGTCATCTACAAGTGTTCAGAACACCTCTTTGGTGTGAAGTTCTCTTCTGGACTGTAAATCCATATAACCTTTCCAAGAGGGCTTGTAGTGAGCAAGAAAAGAAACTGGTTTTCTAGATTCTTATATAATCTTTACTCACAGAAACATTCTGAATTACGTGAGTTACTGAGTGTCCAAAGTGGCCTTATGCACTTATAGCTGCTTGTCTGCTGATTGCTTTGTGTGACTTCTAAAATATTTATGAACTGAGGAAGGAAGCATGTTAATGTTTTATGTGACTTAGGAAGGTTTTTTCTGATAGAGAGCTTATTTATGAGTATCTTTTGTTGAATCAGACAGTAAGGACAGGAAAGGCTAAGTCAGTCAGTCTGACATGCTGTGTTTTGCATGTGTTTATGCAGATTTGTTTGTGTTTGTGCAGATTCAACTAGCATTTCATAGTTATTGTATAATAAATAAAATTTCATAGTTATAGTATAATAAAAGTGATGGATCAGTAGCTTTCAATAATTTCCGATTTAATACTGTAACCTAATTTTACTTTAAGGTGCTGAAGCAAGTTTCTGCAGCTTTGTACTACATATATATATAGTACCCTCAAACTCTCTGAATTAAATAGTGCCTAACCTTTAAACTGCGTTACTTCTTATGCCACAAGTTCTTGGATGGAATTCCATAACTTGATATATACATTTCACATTTTTTCCATAAAGATCCAGTGCTGAATTACTAACCAGTGTAACTACTTGAATAAAGCAAAAATAATATAAATAGTACTTCTGTTTATAGCAGTACTTGATTTTTTTTTAACGCTATGATTTTCTTTTTAAATACAGTCTCACCACAGTATCTGCAGCTGTTCAGTGCTCCTGTTTCTCTAGATCATTATAATTCAGCCATCTGATTGTAGTAGAAAGTATACACAGATTGATTTAACATTTTTAATTTCCATTCTGGCTCACAATCTGTTTAATCCTCTTAGCAATAGCAATCAGAGTTGAACGGATCTTTATCTGGAAAAGCACCTTCAAAAAATGTATGTGTGGTGCAGACTGGCAGCAGTATATACACATACACCTGCATCTACTCAAATAAATTAGCACTGTTTTTATGTTCAGAAGCGCTGAAGCATTTTCATGTGCCTTTGTTTACTACAGTTCAGAGACAGTACAGATAACGGTAAGCCAGCTTAAACAACCTCAGCTACACTGGCCTTTCTTTAGACGTGCTCCAGTCCTGTAATCATCCTTGTGGCTCTTCTCTGGACCTGCCCCAACAGCTGTATGTCTTTCATTTCCTTGGAGCCCCAGGCCGGGATGCATTACTCCTGACTGGGCATCACAAGGGCAGAGCAGAAGAGAACAGTTACCACCCTTACTCTGCCAACCACCCCTGTTCTGATGCAGCCCGGATCAAGGCACAAGCACATGCAGCTGGCTCATGTTCAGCTTTTCATCCAGCAGAATCTTCAAGTTCCTTGCAGAGCTGCTTTCAATGAATTCTTCTCCCAGTCTGTAAATATATTGCCCTGACCCAACTGCAGCACTTTGCACTTGGTGTTCTTAAATCTCATTTTAGATTCATGTGGGGCCAGTTTTCAAACTTTGGTTGGCACTCCTTATTCTCTTGTGTGAACTACACCACTCAGCTTGATGTCATCAGCAAACTTGAGAAAGGTGCACTCGATTCCACTGTCTGTGTCATTGATAAAAGTGTTAAGGAGCACTGGTTGGCAGACTTTGCCTGCTCACCATTACTTTTCAGATATGATAGTGGCTTGGCAGCAGTATCAGCCAGTGCCTTCAGGACCCTGTAATTCATTTCATAAGGTGCCCTGAGACTTGTTCTTTGTTTACATTTGGAAGTTTTTTGCTCCCCCAGCCCTTGTGTAAAGGTTGAGGGACATTAGAGACACGGGAAGCCTGAATGCCAGTGAAGACTAAGGCAGAGAACTTGCCGAGAACCTTGGCCTTCTACATGTCTGTTGAAGCCAGTTCTCGCTTCTCATTTATAAGGGGGTACATTATCCCTGGCCTTTCTATTTTGGCCAGTGTATCTAGAATCCCATCGTACTAATTTTACATCCCTTGCTAAGGCCAGTTCCATCTGTGCCTTGGTTTTCCTGAGCCCATCTCTACAGACAGAATCCCTGTGTTTTTCCCAGGCCACACATCTCTGCTTCCATTGCCTGTATGTTCCCTTCTTTTCCCTCAGTTTGACCAGCAGGACCTTGTTGAACCATTCCAGTTTCCTGCCTCCTCTGCTTGATTTCTTATGCTGAGGGTGCAGTGCTCTTGTGGTCTCACAAAAGTCCTCAGAGTTTTACCAGCTCTGATCTGCTACTTTGTCCCTAAACCCAGCTTCCCAGAGGATCCCATCCAATTTCCATAAAGAGCCCAAAGTTCAGGGTACTAACTGCTTTTTTCCTAGACTGTGTTTCTCAAGATTGTGAACTCGACCAGGGTATGGTTGCTGCAGCCCAGACTGCCTACCTGTTAAATGAGCATCTCTGCATCAGTGAGCACCAAGTACTTCACCTCCTTTTGGTGTAATACCTGTGTCAGGAAGTTTATCCTCAAAAGATAACTTTGAGTCCTTTTAAAGGACTCCAGGAGTCACTTGGAATGTTTAAAGTTTTATGTTGCTTTCTAAGCAGACATCTGAGTGGTTGAAATCCTCCATCAAGATGAGAGCCTCTGAGCCCAGTAAGTCGTGTAGCTGAAGCGAGAAGGCCTTATTCATTGGCTCCTCTTGATCAGGCAGCCTGTAGCAGGCCCCAGTCTAGACCCCCAGTAGACCACCAGGCATCCTGTCTCAGTCTTATCTAATGTAACCCACAAGCTCTCAACCTGATCACAGTTGTTTTTTAGAGGTAACTCTTTACAGTCTGTTTATCCCTTAATAGAGGCCAACTTCACAACCCTTCCTGCTTGTCTCATCTCAAAAGCATTTAGGCCCCGATTGTGGTGTCCAGTTCTGTGATTTGTCCTGCCATTTTTGCTATGATAGCAGCTAGGTTGTAGTTTTCTAATTGTGTCTTGGTTTCTGTCTCCCGCTGTTTTCCATTGATGTGCGTATTGCTGTAGAGGCACTTCATCTGGGCTATTGGCTGCATTATTTTCAACTCTCAAATTTTTCTGGGACAAAACTGAGGTTTTCCTGTGATAGTGTTCCCTTGCTCTTCTCCGTCACTCCCATTCCCCCATCCAATATAGTTAGATCTCTATTAATTAGTCTAGACAGATTGCTGCCCAAAACATTGTTGTCTCTCCTAGTCATTTGCATCCCATTCCACGCCAGCATGCCTGATCTTATGGAGAAGCATCGAAGATGATAGCACAGAGCATGATACCATCTGTGCATCCAGTCATTGGTATGATCCATTTTCCTCCTACCTTGGTCTTGGTTTCCAGCTGGGAAGATGGAGGAGAACACTATGTGTACTCCTTCAGTATTCTCCAAATGAGACTTTGTTACAGATTGTACCCTGTTACATTCCCAAGGCACCCAGTCTCAGTAAATAGCTAAATCTGTGTGATCTTCTGTCTCCTGATGGGAGATGCTTTTATGTTAGTAAAGGGAGAGACATATAGCTGAGAAGCTTATTATGGTAACAAAATCCAACAAAAACCCAAAAAGCATAACATCAACCAGCCAAAACAAAAATGCAACTAAAACTCAGTTAACACTGGTAGTCTGAGGATTGAGTAAAAAGGAGAGAGTAGGAGCTAAGAATGAAAAGAGCATGTTGCTTGAGGGTTTTACAAGAATAGCATACTGATAATACAGAAAGTATACTGGTAGATATTCTTGAAAACTAGCTTTTTTTCACTAACCAGCATTCTCTAGCGGCTATGGATAGCTGTAATTTACATTTATTAAAGGAAAGATAGTACATCAGTGTATATTTGGGAAAATAGAGTGTCTCCAGGTGCTTGAAGTGACACATGAATGATGACTTACTACAGATTATCCTCAAAGAAGGAAAGGATGTACAGAGAACTGACTTTATTGTAGGACTGTTTTATTCTAAGCCAATTGGAGTTTCAGGAAGCTTTTGAGCAGGGTAATGCATTTTGTGAGGAAATTACTGTCAAATCCACGGAATTAACTGTATGTTATAGTAAGTATTTAGAAATAAGTGGGATCTTCTTGATATGGGTTATGCTTATTGATTTTTCTTGCATTTTTGCACCTACAGTTTTTTGTTGATGTTTTATATTATCTGGCATCAAATGTATGTAATTAATTGGATATTATACTTTTTCTGCCAGCTTACTTATCTTCCAAGTATTAATCTATGTGTTATTTCTTATTTGCCTGATTGAGAAATGAGATTGATGTAGTAAAAGCAATCTTTGTTTTGGTACATTAATAGGCACAGGGACCTCATTGATTCTGTGGTTCTCCATATAAAAATTCTATTTGTTATTTCAAAAATGAAACTCAAGGGGGAGCTAGCCAGTCATTGTGAATCTACTGGTACACACTCAATGACCTGCTCTGCGTTTGACATTCATTTCTGTTTCTTTTCCATTTATTTTCCAATAATGTCACAAAGTGCATTTGAACTGTTTTTTTTTTCTTTCCCTGGAACAATTGTTGTGTTTTCTCTTCTGATTATTTTGATCTACAGGCCTGCAGTATATGAGATAATTGCCGAATTATTTCTGGCAATGCTTGGTATTGTGTGCAATTCATTTAATTTTCAACTAAAATTGTAATGAAAGTGAACTGGCTCTTATGTTATGTACATCAGTTATTTAAAGGTATCTGAAAAGAGATTGAGAGATGTTAGTGTAAAAAAAACCTAACTTCCCTTGTAGATCAAAGCTATTGAGTACTAATAATTCATAGTAGATTCATACCTAATCGGTGCTGGCATTATGCCGAATGAACTTTCCAGGGTTTCTTTAACAAGTCCTTAGCTGGTGGAAACAATCTGTGGGTCATATCCAGTGGAAGCTGATTTTCCTTTTGTCAAAAATTATTTAGTGTGTTAATGCATTGCAGGCAGAGATTTGTGAGTTCCTTCACTGCACTGTCACTGTGCAGTGGGTGAATGTGTAAAAGCAATCATTTTAACTATGGGTCAAGAGTTTCTCATGGGGGAAGCCCAAGTAAGCAAAATAAAACCTCAGTATTGCTGACGTGGGCATACATATTGCTGTTAAATACACATATCTGTGGGCCTTTAGAGAGTTTTTTCATGTGTAATATTGCTTTTAAGGCAGTAGATGAATGTCAAAGACAGAATATGTAAATTCATGCTGAAACTTTGTGAAGTTTATGGGGAATATTCTTTTCAAAAACAGTCTAAAACTTTTGGCTCGTAAAATTAAGTCCTTTTGGTAAAGATTATGTTACTCTGTTTTCAGTCTTTTTCCTGCCACTGATATCAAGCACTGTTCTTGTATCCACATTCTCCTAATGTGCAGGGAAAGTAAGAGAACATCTCTGATCATTTGTTTTGCTGCACTTAGTTATAGAACTCTATAGTTTGTTCTGCTTAATGTACTTATTTTTTTATTTGCTTGCCTCCCTTGTTTATAATTCATATAAGAGTTATCATCACAACCAATTAACACTACTTGAAGAAAAAAGATATGCTTTTTTTACCTTCTGTAAAATTTAACATAAACCTATTCACTTTGTTAGTTAACTGTTGTCAGTGATGCTTACTGTCTCGAGTCTGCCTGTAAAAATACTGTGTTCCTAGTTTAAGTCATTCACTGATTATTTGGTACTAAAGAATAATTTTTGTTTAAAATGTATGAAACATCAGTTAGATTTTGTCTTTAATGATGCTAGTAATTAACGATGGCAGAGTGTGCTACTCAAAATGTAAGCAAGATATGAAACGAAAGGATTGGAAATGAAAAGTAACTTTTATTGTTTTGTAAGGCATACAGCTAGAAATGACCCATGTCAAAAAGCACGTTTTTCTGAGTCTGTAGGCATAAATTTGTATCTGTAATTGCAGACCTTTTATCCACCTTTTGGCAGCAGAATATGTCAGCAGAAATTCTCATTTCTTTAGGGCTAAATAATTAGAAATATGGGTCCTCTCCAAGGTGAGATTAATATATCATGTTGAAAAGACAGAGAATCAAAACCAGGAGTTTAATGGCTGCTGTGTTCTTTTTGGGTCTGAGCTTAGAATTGCAAAGAAAAAATTACATGCAGTGATAACTTAAGAAATAATTCTAAAGGTATTGTGTGACAAAAAAAACAAAAAAAACAACCCTTGAAATATATAAAACCACATTTATAATTTCGTGGAATTGGGAGTTTATTTACTACTCACTAATAAATGATGTGTAAATTCTCAGAGGTGGTCTTTCCCATTTTGAAGACCCTAAACTTTCAAGCTCAAGCATGTGCTTCAAATGGAGTTCTTGCCACGTCTCATTTAAATGAACAAGAGTTATCTTTGGCCTAGAGGAAACTGCTTAAATCTCTGCAAGACCTGGCTCTGTCTCTGTCATACACACCGCAGTCACACAGTGAATGACCTGCAGGAGTTATGGGAGTGCACATGTAGTCAGTTTTTCATTGTGTGGCCAGGCTGGAGGCTGGAACGATCTTAGTGTCTTACCTAGCATGCCTGCCAGGGATTCTGTTAAGGAGATATCAGAGCAGAGTATCATATGGTCAATATGTAGCAAAGATTGTCAGCGTTTGTACTTGAGCAGCTGCTTGGATTTTTCTGCCCTGCACACATACATTCTCACTTCAGAGATGAGTTATTTGCCTGGGTAAAACTGCTGAACCTTTCTGAGTTCCAGTGGTGGTATTCCTGAAAGGATCTTCAGGTATGATGTCACAACAGCCACCTCTCACCTTGTTCCCTCCTGAATTTAGCAAGTCTGAACAACACTAAAGCTGCTGTATTTTCCCTGAACTGTTCCCAAGAAGTCATAATGCTTGACAAACTTACATAATGCTGACACCTTGCATTAGGTGTGTGCCTCTGAGTAGGAAGGTTAACTGTAGTCTGCTTGGCTGGGATATGGCCACACTGTGGTCATTGGTAAACATAGTAACAGTTGGATTCCCAGGAAATCTCAAGGAAAATTTGGAATGGTAGCTGAGAAAATTGTAGCATAGAGTGTTACTGTTGTACTTTAACTTGGCAGGTGGCTGACTACCGCGCATCCCCACCTTCTCAGAGGGATGGGGGAGAGAATTGGGGGAAAAAAATGAGAAGTAGAACTCGTGGGTTCAGATTGAACTATTTACAAAGACAATTACAAAGAGAAAAGGAAGAGAATATTAGTTATGGCTACATATATATTAATGTATATAACAAGTGGTGCCCAAGCAATTGCTTACCAACCACTGACCAATGTCCAGCTTGCCCACTGAACAGTAGAAGAGAAAAAAATCATCCCTCCCTCTTCAGAATGCCTTCCAGTTGATTTCATGTAGTATGGAGTATCCCTTCAGCCAGTGTAAGCCAGCTGTCCTAATTCTGTTCCTTCTCAGCTCCTTGAGCTATTTACTGAGAAGATCCTTGGCTTAACAGGCAACTGTAAACATTGGTACCTCATCAGTGTTGCTTTTCGCCTCGAACCAAAATGTAGTATTGTACCAGATACTCTAAAGAAAGTGTTTCCATGCCAGCTGAAACTAAGACGCCAAGATGCAGTTATTGTCAAATTTGTGTCTTCTAGCAGAATTACAACATACACTGACTTTGCATACAATTTTTCCACTGGTGCACAAATAACGTTCTGTTAACAGGGATAACCACCTAATTTCTGTGGATGTTTTTAATGTTTTTAAGTCTATGCAATGTTTATTTGGCATATTTGCTTTTGTAGAACCTTAGAGATAACAACTACTGAGTTTCTGTTAGAGCTTGACCTCTGACCTTTTCTTTTTTTCCTCTTCAGGTATTTGTGGAAACACTAGACAAATGTTTCGAAAATGTCTGTGAGCTGGATTTAATTTTCCATGTAGACAAGGTACACTGATGAGTTCTTGTGATATTTCTTGCCAAGTAACATGTTTGATTCAACTGATACTCAGTATTAAAATATGCAGTGATTCTGCTTTTATAGTGAAGTCTAGACATATTCTACAAAGAGGTTATTTTTAAAACTTGAAAGCTGTATGGAGCCTACTTTTCTAAGTTAAAATGTATTTAGGAGCTTTGTGTGGCATTGTTACACACATGATGTTGCGGCTGTGAATATTGTTTTTACTTCTCAAAGTTGGACTTAGAGGATTTGTTCTGGTTTGTTTTTGTTTAGATGTTATATTATTCAGAACTGAACGTGTCTTAGGAGTTTTTCTGTTATGTCTGGTAGTTGCCTTTCAAATGCTGTGTTTTTTTAACTTAAAATCTGTGGATCTTTTTCTGCTAAATCTCAAACAGACATTATGTCCTTTGTTAAGCATTTAAAAACAAACATTTTTTGAGTACTCCCAGCTATCAGGAATGTACCTTATTTGTTAAGCTGGTTTTGAGAAAACTTACAGTAGTTTTTATTTAAAAGGACTTTGTCATCTCTTGATACAAGTAATACTTAAAATTTGAGAATTGAATAAATATTTATTACTTCAGTTACCTTTTGTGCCTACCATTGCTTTCCTTGACTGTGAACACCTTTTTGCTTCAGTGGGAAGACATGAAAGGAAAATAAGACAAATATCACTAAAATTGGTCTAAAAATATTAACAACTATCTGAAATTACTCTCTGAAACTGACTAAATTTGTTTCCAAATAATGGAATTATTTGTTGAAGAAGTAGTTACACCTTGACCAGAAACTGAAATGCAAATCATCTTGAGTAGGTGTTTGAACTAGCTTGTGACAAGTCATTAGGATTTTCAGCCTGGCTGGAATGCTTTGGTTGCTTCCAAAATGATATATTTAAGTTCAAAGAAACTCTTAAAATGAATGGTTTGTATATTAGCTTCCGAGCTCAAAGGACCCAAATCATACAATACAGTCATGGCAAGGAGTTTGATCTTTAGCTTTAGTTGCAAAATACAAGGGCTGCTCTGAAAGTGATGTCTCCTGTGTTATTTTGTTGGCCTATGACATCAGAGATGGATGTTGGTGGTACAGCAGCAGAAGGTGAACCTTCACATCAGTATTTGTTACATGTTGTTGATGTGTGACAGGTGACAGTAGAGGGGCAATCTGACAGAGTAGTGACTGACATGGAAGTGTCACCATGTATGAAGTGAAGGTGTGGAACTGAATTACTTCATGTGGAAAAAATGGCACCCAACTGACATTGACTGGTGTTTGCTGAACATTTATGAGGACCAATCAGTGGATGTGAGCACAGTGAGGCAGTGGGCATTGTGTTTTAACAGTGACAACTGTTGGAGGAAAGACAAGCCACACTGCAGACAGCCATGCACATGAAATGAAGAGCATCTCAATTAGCTCATCCATGTAAATCAGCTGATTATGACCAGAGAACTGTGCACTGAGCTTCAGCTCAATTGGCTTCAGTGCATGCGAAACAGTGTTGGCAGTGTTAGAATATCATAGAATCAGTGGCACATAGGTTTCACAAGTGCTCACGCAGGCCGGTTTGGATGGGCCTTTGAGCAGCCTGGTCTAGTGGGAGACCTGCCTATAACAGGAAGGTTGGAACTAGGTGAGCTTTAAGGTCCCTTCCAACCCAAACCATTCTGTGATTCTGTGATTCTGAATGTGATGAGCAGGAAGGAGACAAACAATTGTCTTTCTCTCACATTAGCAGATAGAATTTGCATGAAGTAAGTTTAAAATTAAGAAAACTACATATTTTTCATGATTTATAATTAAATTATGGGGCTCCATTGTCACATTTTTGTCAGGATTACCTTAGTATTACATAGTACCATGGTACTATGAATAGGTTCAAAGGTGGTTGGAGTTATTACTCAAAGATAAATATGACAAGAGCTATGCAGTACAATAGCACTACAACAAACAGCAATCTGTTTTCAGAAATTCCTAAATTGGAGATATTTAGAAGCAGAATGTATCAGGATACATAGTTCTAAGATTTTTTAAAGGTGTCAACTGATGGATGCTTAGAGCTGGGTAATGAGCTGTATAGATTTTGTTTTGGATTAATAACGTTTTTTAAGCATCCTTGAGCAAAAGTAAAATTTTTTTGTTTCTTTTTTTTTTTTTTTTTTTTTTAACTGATATCTTGGAATAGTAAATATTACAATGAACATATTCTGTAATGCTGAACACCAGATATGCAACACTGAACTCATCTGTTCAGCCATAATTCATGGTACTTTGATAGAGTACTTTCTGGACACATCATGATAATAAAGCAAAAGCATGAAAGCTAAATGAAATAAGTTATTTCTTTATGGCTGTGAAGAATGAGGAAGGTATTGCCTTGATCACAGAAATATAAGTCTTTATCTGCGTACTGATCTGCTGTGGAAAAAAAATTATATCCCTGCTCTTTTGTCTGCCTGTGATGATAATAGTTTATTCAGACAAACATTACCAACTTGATTATGAGCTTTTTCGTGTATGTGAGAAAGAGAGAGCCTATAGTCTTCATTATTCTTCTAATGGCAATATCTACTAAAGGCTGGGTGTTAACACCAGTCATACAAGTATATTGCTGTTCCTGGGCTAAGCAAGGGTACTCAGTGATGTCTAGTGTCTCTTTCAGACTAAGTAAGTGGTGATGGAAAATGTGAACATTAATGGAATTGTTTTCTAAAACTTCTGGAAATTTGTTTGGATGCTTGTATATCTGCCAGTGTTATGGAAAGTATTTACTGTGTTGAGAAATAATGTTGGTATGTGATCTGTCCTGCAAGACTGATGCTGATGTGAAACTACTTTATTCAGAGATTCAAATAATTTATCTTTTTTAATTGGTTACCACTGTATCTTGTGTTATTCTGTGTTAAAAAATGCATAGCTGATTTTTGAAAAGTTTTCTGAAATACTGTGCTATATTACCTTTTACAAACTCTTGAGATTGGGTTGTGGTGAATGTTTGAGTATCAGGAAATGATGAAAAAATTTCATTTCTTTTTTTTTTTTATTAATTTCTATTATTTTTGAATAAAAATGTCATTTCAATTTCTATTGTGATACATACAGAGCTGAAATGTGCACTTACTGTGGGCACCTTGAACAGCTGCTACCTTAAGCTGATGTTACCTGGGCCTCTTAGTGACTTCTCTTGAGCATTACCTCTGCATCTTCTAGCAGGCTGTTGAAAATAAAATCTGAGTTTTTAAAGTGTTTTTAAAGTGCTTTTCGTATTGTAGAATTCAGTGCCTCATAACTAATACTGAAGGTTACTTGTGGTACAATTAATTTTAGGCAAATGTTAGGCATCTGCCTAACATTTAAATTGTCTGTAATTCCCTGCATCTAACTTCTTCCAGAAATTTGAATTTGTTCCTGGCTCTCCAGCATTTGTTTGTACTAATGAAACTGTTTCCACATCATGTAGTAGCATGCCTGTGCCATAAAATCATGGGATAATTCCAATACGGATGTCAGGAGCAGGCTGCTGTCCGGACCTGCTGCCAGCAGGGTCAGCCCTGGAGTAAGACCAGACCACTAAGGCAGGAGGGAGCCTGCACAGCCCTGGGCAGCCTGTGTCCCCAGACTCCTCCACTCCTGGGGAAAGGTTTCCCCGTGTCAGCCCCTTGCCCTCCTGTTGTGTCCCACTGAGAAGCGCTCAGTCCAGCTGCTCACAAACCCTGCGAGAGCACTGGTGTGCTGCTGGGTGCTCCCAGCTCTGGTCCCCCAGCATCTTTGCACGCTTTGACTATTCTATCTTGGTAGCCCTGTGCTGAATTGGCTCCAATTCATTAACGCCTTTCTTGCATTTGTTAGTTCCTGAACTGTACACAGTGTTTTAAATATAGTCTAGTACATTTGTTTATTTACTGTGTCAGTGCTGTAGAGGGAAAAAATGATCTTTTTTATTAGTGGTGTTGACAAGGCTGTAATAGCTTACCCTTGTATTTTATAAGTAGCCACCAAAACTGACATGAGGGAATTACACTTATTCTTAAGTGCACCTTTTAATCTACTTACGGTGAACTAGATAACACTGCTTATTCTATTTAGTCATTTTGGAGTAGATTGGAAACGCAGTTCAGTCTGTTGTATCAGAGTTCCAGTATGTTGCATCAGTATGTTAGAAAGAAATTGCCTGATAGACTTTTTTTGGGGGAAGGTGAAAGTATCACTCGTTTTTAAATATTATTTTGAGATAGAAATGAACAATCTGAAAAGACCAAGAACTGCTCTTTTATATGCTCCTGTTCTCTTCTGTTAGGACTCTATGGCTTGTTCTGTGAAGTTCTCTGCTGGCTAGAGGACAGTAAGAAGGAACTTTAATTGCCTTAAAACTCTGTTCTACAACATCTTTAGTTAGACTGCTTTCAAGTGGGTTGTCTGTATGTCCGCCACCAAGAGCACAGATGTGGTGCTGTCGGAATGGGGTCTGTGATAATGGTTGTTGTTAACTTGTTGGTGTTCTGTGTCAGAAGAAATGGGAATTGATTGAAAGACCAGTTTCTTTTAAAATTAATTATTTCGAATACATTGTAACTTCCATTAGTAATTTATAAAATCATTCTTTGCAAGTTGCTAGCCAAATGCAAACTCACAAGGCTGTGTGCATGCATTGCAGATGCTAACTCTTGTTTGTTAAGGGCTGCAAGCCTTTTTCTTCTGTAATGAGTGAAAGTAAGTTTTTAGTAAAAGGAAGTAAATGTTGGTAACACCTTTCAGTGCATTTGGATTGTCAGCATGGAGTGTATTAATGTTAGATTACCATGTTTATACTGTGATGTTAGAAAGCTTTACAATTAACTTCATCACGAGACAGAAGAATTATTTTGCATCACTTTCATATTATGTCCAACCTTTTGGCTTGCTTGGGCCATGTGACATACATATGAAATGTGTATGTCCAAAAGTAATGCCTCATATTTATTTCACTGGAAACTACAACAGATACAAAGAGCACAATAACAGTTTGATAGAGCAGGTTCTCAGCTACAGAACGGTTTTTTAGCAAAGTCACCACCATTAGCTATGCATTTTTGCCACTGACAAAAGAGAGCCTGTATGCCTCTCCTGCTTGTGAAAATCTATACCAGTGGAGGTGACCCACTGTCACTGTCACCACTGCTGAAACGCACCATGCAGTTGTTCACCCATTGCTGAATGCTGATGGGTGCCATTTTTTTCTGCATGGAGAGATTCATTTCCACACCTTTGCTTCATGCGCACTTCCATGTCAGACAGCGTTTTGTCAGACTGCCTTTCTGCTGCCATCTCTTACGTAGCAACAACATGGAATGGAATATTGGTGGGAATGTTCAGTCTCTGCTAACATACCATCAGCATCCACTTCTGATATCGTGGGCCAACATAATAAAACAAGAGGTGTCACTTCCAGAAAACCCTCATTAAATATTCAATCTAGTTGATGCATACCCAGGAGGGGAGTAAACTCTTCAGAAGGGCTGACAACAGCAGGACGAGGGGAAATGGATCCAAGTTGAAGGAGGGAAGATTGAGGTTGGATATTAGGGGGAAGTTCTTTACAAGGAGAGTGGTTAGGCCCTGGAACGGGCTGCCCAGGGAGGTTGTGGATGCCCCGTCCTTGGCCGTGTTCAAGGCCAGGTTGGACGGGGTCCTGGGCAACCTGATCTGAATGTGTGTGTTTGGTGGCCCTGCTAGGCAGGGGGGTTGGAACTGCATGATCCTTGAGGTCCCTTCCAACCCGGGTGATTCTGTGAGTCTGTGATTCTGTGATAGAAGTAACAAAATTTGTTTTCTTTAATTTTTTTTTAAATTGAAACATAAAAAAGAGAGTAGCAAAAAAAAACAGATAAATAGTAGGATATTTGACCTTTTTTTGTGAAACGAATGTGTCAGGTTGGTTTGATGGCAGTGGTTGCAATTCTTAGTCAGTTCTCAAGATGTTAAGTAGAGTTTTGGTAATAATTTGCTCTTTCTATACTTTGTCCTTCAAAATAGTTGTTTGCAAATGTATATAGCATCAATAGCAGTGATTTGAATAAGGTGTGATAGGGAAGTGAGGGATATTTCTCTCTGGAAAGAGAGGTCTTATAAAAGTTTGGTAAGGAGACATGATCACATTTTAGATTGCAAATCTATATCTGAAAATTCACAAGTAATATCTGCACACTGATGTTGGGCTGGTGTGGAGGAGCTGGGCTTCCAGGTGGGGCTGAGCTGTGCACTGATGTCACAGGGCTGGGGACCAGCTGCATTGGAGCTGTGCTGGGCTGTATGGGGCCCACAGGTTGCAGGTTGGATGTGCCTGATTGAAGGATTTACTTCTGTCCTTAATCTACAGGTAAATTGCAAGAATATTTTGAGTAATAGCAGAATTATGCTTTGAAGTATCATAGTGTACAATTTTTTTATTTCATAAAAGTAATTATGTGTACCCTATGTGTCTTCAGAATTATAGTAGGCTTGCAAAATTTTACATTATGTATTTGGTGAAGAGTTTTGGTAAAAAGTGTGTAGAAGCATGCATTTAAAAAAAAAGAAAAAATTGTCAGGTCTGCAGATACAGACACTGACTCAGAGGATTGTGAACCAAAGCTCACATTCTAAAACCAGAGTTACAGGGAAAAAGAATTTTAAACTGACCGATTTCATTAACATCATTGTTTGGCTCACTCAATTTTTCAATTTCAATCCTGACTATCTGTCCCGGTCCTAGATGCTGAAGTCTTCATGTCTGTGGTCAATGGAACAGGGATTATTTAGTCTGGAGAAGAGGAGGCTCAAGGGAGACCTTATCACTCTCTACAACTCCTTGACAGGAGGTTGTGGTGAGGTGGGGGGCAGCTTCTCCTGTGTAACTACTGATAGGATGAGAGGGAACGACCTGAAGTTGTGCCGGGGAGGTTTGGGTTGGATGTTAGGAAGAATCTCTGAACAGGGACATGGCTTAGTGGGAAATACCAGTGGTAGGTGGACAGTTGGACTGGATGATCTTGGAGGTCTTTTCCAGCTTTGGTGATTCTATGATTCTGCGATTTTCTATGTTCAGATGTATTACCTCTGCTTCCAAGCCTACCCTCGGTAAATGTGAGTGAATGTCATTATGCCTCTCATCCTTCACAGATTTACAGAACTGTTTCTGAGAAATTGTTAATATTCTAGAGCTTGCTTCTTTGCTTTACTACTGACAATAAGTACAACTCTTGTTCTAATATCCTTGGGTAGAAAGCATACTAAAAGAAAGATGAAGGACAAAGTTCATCTGGCTAGCATTGATAGGCAAAATGGTATAGCTGTTGAGATTTGTGATGAAAGAACTATGAGCAAAAAGCATATTGAGGTTGTGAACAGCATGTTATAAGCTTTGTGCCCAGATTGTTTCAAAGAATGTGCTAAGATTAATTGACTGATGGAATGTACGTGCTCTTGGATTGATGAATTTAGACATCATCTGTCCAGCTGTGTATAGGACGTTTTAGAATTTTCTTATGGTCTTCTTTTTAGGTCCATAATATATTGGCTGAAATGGTTATGGGTGGAATGGTTCTGGAGACCAACATGAATGAAATTGTCACTCAGATTGATGCTCAGAATAAACTGGAAAAATCTGAGGTAAGAATGAAGCAGTGCTGTGTAGTGTCTAAACTAAAAACATGATTGTAGTAAATGCATGCTATATAAAACTGCTTATCCTTCAAGCTGCTTGCTTATAAATAGTGAAAATTCACAATCTGTCATTAAGTTAGTATACTGTACCTTTTCTGCATATGCAGTAAGTGCTTAGAGGAGTTGCTGCTTAGATTTTGCTCTGTGTATCTAGTAGCAGAACATGTTGTTGCTATTGAGATACACCTGTAGTTCTGTGAGTTTCTCTTGCAGAAAGCATTTTATTTCCAGAGTATTTACTGTGTTGGAAATCACTAATCATTACAACAAATAAATTTCTATGAAGATCTGAAGTGTGTAGATAACATATTCCTGTCTACTAGTATGTTTCTATCTGCTGAAATAAATGGCAGTATATTTAATGCACAAAAATACTGCAACGTAAAATAATAAATTGGACTTGATAGAAATTACAACCCAGTTGTAGGCACTTTAAATTAAATATGAATTCTGTCCTGTTGGTAATATGAACATTTGTTGTTAGTTGAGTGGACTCCAGAGAGAAGATGAAATTTGCTGTGTGTACATACTAGTCTGAGCAAGGGACAGCTGTGTAACTTGAGGGAATCCCTTTCCTCTTGTCAAGTAGAAAAGATGCACACTTGTGGAGCAGATGACAAGATGTGCTTGTAATTCCATGTTAAACTTTGCAGCTTGTGAATCTGGATATTAAAATGCTTGCCTTTTATACTGTTGAATTTGTGTTTAGGAGAGAAATCTAGAATGAGAAGGGATTTCAGAATTATTTTAGCTATGTGACTAAATGCTACTTTTTAAAAACATTATCAGGCTTGTCATGTTAGCTAAAATATCAACAGTATATCTTAGCTAAGGCTATGAATGATTCTTACTGATCAGAGTAGTTCTACAAAAGAACATATAATCTCATTTTCAGAGCTTATTTTTCAAATTTGAAAGCAAACTTCTGCTTAAATTGGAGACTCTTTCTAAATCTGAGGTCAGCTGAATGGATTGAAGAATCACAGGTGGCATAAATATGAACTAAATGACATTTGAGAGGAAGACACAGAACTTTCTAGTTTTGATTTACGAACCAGAAGAGAAGTTAATTTGTCAGACTTTTTTTTTTTTTTTTTTTGGTACAATGTATACTGTTCTCCTAATTCTAGAATCTCACATTGCATCATCTTGAGTCTTTTGATACACTAAGTTGTCTGTTTTACTTCCAAGCTATTTCCAAGAACAGAACAACGCTTTGTAAAAAGCTGTGCATGATATGACATTGTGCCTGGCAACATATGTTGAGAAAGACTGCATTACAGATTTTGAAGATGTCCAATACATTCATTTTAACATCTGCAAACTTAGAATGACTTGTTGATTACATGGAAATCTAGTAAATTATTGCTATGTTTGAGTAATCTCTGAATACATTTATCTTTATTTTTTTGATGGAAGACTAACATGGTATCCCAAAAGCTGAACTTAATAAGCAGCTGTGTTCTACCATGTGTTAATGCACATACAAGTTTCAACTGAAAGTGTTTAATTGAAGTGTTTTTCCTTAATTATATTTATTCTGTTACCAAACTGTCTGGAGAGTAGTCTCTCACTAGGCCCTGAAATGCATTTACAATATTTTATGTTTTCCATTACCCACCAGTAAGTCATTTTTTCTTTTAAGGTACTTATGAAGAAAATTAGGCCATAGAAGATTAAAAAAAAAAACAGTACAAAACAAAACACAAAACCTAGAAGTCATAGTATGTGCAGGGCAAATAGCAACTTACTCTTTTATGCTCAGCAGTGAATTATAGAAGGCAAAGAAGCAGCAGTGATAAACAGAAACACTTGGTGACTGGAATAGGGTCAGTCCTGCTCACCAGAAATTCATTTTTTTAACTCAGTGACTGTTTCTTCTCGAATGTAGCAGTTACTGTAATACTGTGATACTTCACAATACCCGATAAATAGTTCCATTAATCATTTGTTGCATGAATCTCATCAGAAATTATCTGGTTGCTATTTCTTTTCCTTTTGCCTTTTTGATCAAGATTGTAAATCTTTCAACATGTCTTTCCTGAACATGTCCTTCCAACAGAGCATCAAATTCAGCTTGCGTAAATAAAAAGTGGTAATAACTCATTAATAATATTTTTAATGCTTGACACAAAGAAATCAAAACTAGCAGATCCTTTTAGTTTTATTTCTTCAAAAAGAATAAAATATTTTTTAAAAGTCAGATTTTTTTGTTTATTTCGTCCATAGTTCATAGGACTGCCACCTATGCCACAGCACTCGCACGTTACTCTATTCAGCTTCTTCGACCTCAGTTGTGGTTCTTGCATCCATAAAATAGCTGTGTTAAGGTTGATTGCCTGTATGTTTGTAGCCCAAAGAGATGAATGCTATACAATTGTAAGTGAGCTCCATTTACAGAAATATTCTAAATTTCATAGTGTACCCACCCAACTTTCCATAGTAAAGCTATTTGACATTTGATTAGTTTTACGTTGGGTTTCAAAAGAGACTGTCAATTGGAGCTTAGCAAAGGAGTTAAATCATGTTTATTTAATTTACAAATATTTGTAAATATTATCAGCTCAAAGGATTTCTTGATCCTTTCAGCAGAGATTATTTGTTTAAATTACTGTGATGGCATCCATAGCTTTGATTTCTGATTCAGCTCCTAACGTTGCGGGGATGAGCTATGAAGGAAATTGCTTTTTTATTCTGAGAAATGTTGTCTTTACTACATTTCCTTACCTTAAAGTGTTAGTGTTTGTCTGTGAATGGATTTCTGGTCAAGTCTTCTAAAGCCAACTGATCATTGTGATTAAGAGGGGGAATTTTTGGGAGAGGGATCTTTGGGATTTTATCCAGTGCCTCTGAACTTACTGTAGGTAAATCTGTGCTACCTTTTCTCTATTTGGAGTGTTCAACTATGTGTGATTTAGACTTTTAAGTTGGACCTCATTTTTTCCCGAACATCCTGATCTTTTCTAGCTCTTTCATTCTTCTCTCTTACAGACCTTTATCTTTCAGTCTCCCAGACAGGACAGGTAGACAAAGGTATTGCTGACTTTGAGAAAAAATGTACTTTTAACAAAAAGGGAAAGCAAAATGATGTCAAAGGCAATAAATCATGTAGGCCAGACTCAAAAATTACGTGTAAAAATACCCATACTAGTCTATGTAGCCTACTTTTTGTGCTAGTTTCTTCTTGTAGTTCCCTCATCTTTTTTTATTGGCTATAGTGTATTTTACTAGCTTTCCATTGACATCATATTTTTTATTTTATTTCTCTTGCTGCATTTTAGAATTTAACTTTTCTTTGTATCATTGTTTAAGAAACAAGGAAACATGAACTTGCACAAATTTTTAAAAAAAGCTGCAAAACTGATCTGAATAGAAATTGAATACAAGGATAGCAAAACACAGTGTGACGATACAATCAAAATACCTTTCTGATAGGAAAACCTAAACTGGGAAAGAAGAATTCTCCTCCAAATGAAAGCAAACAACCGGCTTTCAAAGAGAAATTAAGTTTTAGAGTAAATTTCAGGTAAACCAAACTTAAAAAGAAAACTTGCCAATCCAGTTTTATACATGTGAAATGAAATCACCAGTCTGATTTGTAAAGATGATGAAGAAATACCAAGATTCTTCTGTGAATCCTTAAGGGTGTCAAACGTAAAATGAAAAAGGTGGTTGCCATGTGCAGAACTTCAGATGTACATTTGCTGCCCTTATCATCTGAATGGCCAGATTTTGCTTTAAGGTATCTTGGTACCCCTGGTCACTGAATACAACAGGGAAAGGAGGAGAAAAACGTATGTTTGAAGTTCAGTTTTGGTCGTTGTCCCCCTTGTCATTTGCTGTTGAAAACATTTAGTTCAGCTCAATGGTTTGAATGTCAGTCAACATTAGTGGCACTATTTCAAAATTCATTTCCATTCATTTTAAGTATCTATGTATTTGAACTTCAGGTAGTTTAAATATCTGGAGCTTATGCAGACAAAGTTTATTTAATTTATAAATAACTTTGCTCTTGGATTTTACATGATCTTTCCAGGAAAAGCCTTTAAGACTTAGTAAATATACTTCTGTAATTGCTTTTAGTAGCAGTAAATTATAAAGCGTTAGCCAAAACCATTTTTGGGTTGTGTGAAACTTTTAACCTAAATTTGGAATATGTTACAGCACATGAAAATCAAAGAGGTTAGCTTCTTCTGCCTAATATATCAACACCTGAAACGTATAATCCATGTTTCATCGTAGTGGTAGGGAGCTTGATTTCAGGTTTTATTTTATTTATTTATTTGTGTGTTCTGTGTTCTGCTCACACATGTTCTGTTTTTATTTTTGGGTCTGGCAATGAAAAATAAACAAACAAAAGAAAATCATTCCCATCCATTATTCTTTGTGATTCAAGTGCTTAAAATTTCTAAGAGTACGTCCTTAAGTCTTCTTATCTGTTTGGCCTCATTTTGATATTCCTTCAGACTTCATTTTGTTTTTTCTCTAATTATGTTCATTTATTTAACCTCATAAGCAGAGGACATAATCATTCCTTTATATTATGCATTGCATCCTTTCATTCTTTCATAATCTTGCTGCTTTGAAGTCATACTTGTTCCAGAAAGAAGCACTAGTATGAAACACTAGCAGCAGAGAGGTCCTTGTACCTGCAGCATACCTCAGAAAAGGATGGCTTATTTTGCAAAGCTTTAGCCTGCATTATTTTGTTTTCCAGTAGGTTGCATATTTCTAAATGCTTATTCTAGTGATAGCTAGCTCTGTTTGGGGTGAAGTCTGAATTGTTTTTTTTTTTTCAATGTACATAAGAAATAAATCTGTGATATTCAGTGCTTTTCCCAGTTTGATTTTTTTATTTTTTTTTTTTTTTGTTTTTTATTTTTTATTTTAGTGAAACAGTGTTTCTGGGTTTACTTTCATGTAGTGCTACTAGTGGGGCATTATAAGAAAAAATGATGATAACAATAAAGAAAATTAATACCCATAATAATAAATAATGACCTAGGCAAACTAGCAACATTTAATATTTCTCACTTTATGTACTAGGACTGTTAGAACAAGACTTGTTATTAAATGTTTCTATTCCAATCTTTAAAATAGCATTATTTTGCATTTATGACATTGTTCTTTTGCTCTAAAAGTGTATAACCATGTTCACAAGCATTTTTTTTTTTGCAGTAACTAAAATAATAATATACAGTATTTCAAGATTCAAGTACAACCTTTGATAAGAAAGGAATTTGAGAATACAGAGCAGCTATGGCAGGAATCTGGTGTAGTGGCTATTTGTAATACCAGCTTTATGCAATTTGTACTGTATTTCTGAAATTTCATTAATGTGTCATCAGAAGTTTCATTTTCACTTGCTCAAGTCATTTGCTTGCTGTGACAGACAAACCATCATTCACTGCATGATAAAAGCTTGTGTGTTTTGATTTCTTGTTCAAAGTGAAACAGTTTTTCTTTGCACCTCACCAAGATACCTGCTGAATTATTTCATAATAAAGGCAGTTGAAACATGTCCAATGCAATGTCACAGAGGTGGCCCTTTTAATCAGGCACCTCTATAAAGCTGCTCAAAACCACAATGGTCTGAAAATCTCTCTGTGTTTCTAAAATATTTCACTTTCAGTAAAGGATAAATAAATGGAAGGACTACATAAATGCAGATGTAATCATGTTTGGGATAATTTATTAGTTATCCAGTTCTGACGTTCAAGTACTAATCAGTATACTCAGTTTTGTTAGATATTTTTTACAAATTCTTGCTCTCAGAAATACTGTGTGTTATCCTTCATAGAGTTGACATGAATTTTGATGAACAGCACTGTGCTGTGCATATTTATACACACTGAACGACTTAATATAGACAATAACAGGAGAAAATACTGCCACTGTGGATAACTAAGGTCTATAAGAAAATCTCCACTGCAGTATATGGCAGTGAAGGACAATCTTGCTTTCCAAAAAAAGGTGTGATCTGAAATTCGTAGTACTTTTATTAGGGATCTCTGTTGATCCCCATCCAAAATGATCCTAAAGAAATGTGACTGTTGGAAGTCTGAGGGGGAGAAAGGGCAATGGTCATGTCAATTGTGGTGTCCTGAATAATTCTCCATTGTGTCTCCATTGTATCCTATGCCATTGGGGCGGGAGGCAGGGACTGTAAGTCTGTGTAAAGAGGATAGCTGCAGGTAGGTAAAAGCGATGACCAGTTGTACTAAAACTTTTATTTGTTCATTAAGAGCAATTAACTTTCATTAAGTAAGGGTAAAGACTTTCCATCCTAGTCACTTAGAAGACATCTCTCTCGAATTGCCAGCCATGCCTGTTTGTGTGGACCATGCCCATAACTTAATGATATTTTTCTGGTTTCTCACTGTTTCAGTTACAAATTGTATAATTCATTGCTTTCGTTACTACTTTATTATTATTTTCATCTCCTCTATGGAAAACAGTTTACATTGCCCCATTTTTGTTTCTCCTCAAAGATGTGTTCTAGTGCTGTTTCTTTAAGACATGGCAGATTAAAGGTTACAGATTTTGGAGACTTGCATTTCCTAATACTGCTAGTGTTAGGTCCGTAGCTGCCCCTTCATCAAGGGATTGAAACTGAAAGCTTTGAATTTCATGACCTGAACACTTGGTGATATGGACGGAAACTGAGGAAAAAGAGGCTTTAAAAATATTTCCTTGCACTTTTACAGATTTGGTTAGCCATACAGCTGAAAACTGATCATTGGGATGATATGAGGGACCAAGTGAGAGCAAACTATTTGGTTATAAGAGATTTAAGATTTCCTGACCTTTCTCCTCTACCTCCTCATCTTTTTCCCAACGTAGGCACATCTGATATGGGTTTGGCAGGGTGTGTATGCAGCAGGTGACTTGTGGCTTTCTGGTCTGTGTTCCTGGTACTGAGAATCCTCCTGTGACTGACACCTAGGGATTTATAAGACTCCAGCTTTTCCACATGGTATAAGTGTTTTAGTTCAAAGTCAGAAACTTTAAAATTGATTTTAGTTTAACCCTGGGTTTTATTTTTGAAGGGACAAGGAGATAGCGTACATATCTGCAGCTGAACTGTAGGTAGGGTTTATAGTGGAAACCTAATGTTGATTTGACCTCACATTCACTTCTTTATTAAGAGAGCAGTAAAAGGGAAGAAGTATTTATGCACAGTCTTCAGTGTTGTTATCTCAGGAGTGTATGAGGTGCCTGTCACCTTTTGTGTAGCTGTGGAGGTGGGCACCAAAGAACTGGAACTTACTCCACAGTTTCATTACACCCTTGTAATTACAATGAATTTCAGTGAAGAATTTGAATCTGGAAAGGTTATACACTGAGCAGTAGTTACCTACAAACATTATTTAATAATTAAAGGTAGAGATAGAAAACTGTTCCAGAAGTTTTTCTCCTTTTGAAGTGCCATATTTATTCCTCAGAATTACTTTGTGTCCAAGTGCACTGATTTCTTCAGTCCTTGACACTCTTAAGTCAAATCAAATTTAAAGAAAGACGTTCAGTTTACGTTTAGTCTTTCTTAACCAGTTCTTGACATGTTGCTTTGATTCTGGTAGATTGCTCCTTTTTTTACAAGGCCTGCAAGATGCTACAGTGTACAACTGTAGTGGTTCTGAAGATCATTTTTATGGTTCTATGGTTGTGAATATTTTTAAGCCTGCTTGTAAAGACCAAAATAAAAATATAAAAAAAGAATTATTACTAATAATAAATATATTAAATTTATTAGTAATAATAAAAATAAAATCTGTATCACCTAAATGCAGAGATTTTATCCTTTTCATTTCAGGCCAAGCCACATTGAAATACCTCATATTCATATGCTTGTAGATAAGTAATTTGGTTTAACTGACACTGGGTAACTTGTTACTTTGAGGTTACACATACTGAGCCTGAAGCCAGCATTAGTCAACTGTGATCAGTGTGAACTCTTAGTATAGATGAGAAACAAAGATAGTACACTGGGCTTTAAGTGTCTCAAGATTGTATCTTCAATAACCTATGCATTACACACAGGTGGATAAGCCTCCTGTTCCTCCCTGCATACATTTCCATCAAGTTGACAGTATATGTTTTACCATAAAAGAAGAAATGTGTGAACTGTTTTCTCTTTCTGGATTAATATATCCAAATAACCCATTTCATTCCAAACACAATTACCATGTGGTCTTTCTAATTGTGTAAAACCATGGAAATACTTGAGAACATCAGTTGTCTGTGTGTATTGCTATTGAATGTTCTTGTATCCAGCTTTTCCTGACTTATGTTTTTCCTCACTTTGTACACAGGCTGGTTTAGCAGGAGCTCCAGCCCGGGCTGTTTCAGCTGTAAAGAATATGAATCTGCCAGAGATCCCAAGAAATATTAATATTGGTGACATCAGTATAAAAGTGCCAAACCTGCCCACTTTTAAATAACATGGCTACTCCAGGTAAAACCAAGGCAAAATGTCATAGACGTTTACCACATACTTGTTTACTAAATAAATGATGTGTCTGACTTTTAGTATTTGAGTAAAACTCAAGGTACTGTACAAACATTATTGGAAAAATCAATGTGTGGGGTTGAACATTGCTTTTGTCTTGTTTGTGAAATTAAAGGAGATGGGTAGTTCCTCTGTGATTTCTGAGCTACATTCCTATGCCCTTGTAAGGCATATCACTGTGTTTTGGCTGCTGCAGTATTTTGGGAAAGTATGACCTATAATGCTGAGTTTTTTGTATATTCACTAAAGTCTATAAGTAGTGCATTCTATTACCACTTCTGTTGTTTGTCATGATTATTTAAGTGCGAATATTGCATGAAAACATCAACCTCATTTAAATAAAATCATAGCAAACTGGTCTTCTAAATATGTGTTTGTCTAAAATCTACTCTTTGCAATAAATCACTTCTACTTCCTATTCATTAAGCCAGTTCACTATACATAAATGCTGTTATAGCAAACGTTAATGCTGTATTTCAGTCTTTGAGGGAATTACAGTAGAGTACTGTATTGAGTGCATTGGCTCTTTACATTTCTCACAAAATCTGTTATTAATCTGAAGGAAATACTGCCTTTACTGAAGGTTTTCTGACTTCTGTTTACATAGAAATGTTGAGAATATACTTACACAATCTGATAGATTTCACCTCATGGTCTGACTTTATTCTCAGAGAAGAGGGGACCCAAATGGATGCCTGCAGTTGCTTGTGTGTGTTGTGGGAAGTACAGAATGGGTTGAGATCATTGGGCAGCTCAGAACTGAAAATGTAAATGTGTCAAGTAATGTAATAAAGAAAAAGACTCTAGAAGAATGTTAAAAAAGTTACTTTAAAGGGCCTCTGTGCCTGATGAAGTTCATAGTTCTTAACATCAAGAATTAAATGTAAGAGTTATTTACCATTGTCATGACCTTGGAAAATCTTAAGTACTATCACTTTTGTGTAAGTTGCTCAGCTCTTAAACTCTTCTGTGAATTGAAAAGGTAAATAAAGGTAGTGATTGATTTTTATAGTCATGCTCTTAAGCTCTGTGTGATGTACAAAAATGCTCAAATGAATAATAAAAATATCATTGGGATATTTAAGAGTTCCTGTAAAGTTTCTTCTCCAAAACACATATGCAATTGTAAGCTTATATGAAAATGCAATAATATTGCATTAAGTACAAGGTATTTCAGGACTGGTCTGATAGGCCCTGTGTTACTTTAGAATCACCTCACTTACCTGCTGGTCGTGCTCTTTTTAATGCACTCCTGGGTACCATTGGCCTTCTTGGCCACAAGGGTGCACTGCTGGCTCATGGTCTTCCCGTTGTCCATCAGGATACCTACATCCTCCTCTGCAGAGCACCTAATCTGTACTGATGTGTGGAGTTATTCTATGTAGGATTTTACACGTGCTTTTGTTAAACCTCATCAGATTCCGTTCCGCCCAGCCCTCCAGCCTGTCCAGGTTTTGCTGAATGGTATCACAGCCTCCTGGCATGTCATCCCTCCCTGCTTTGTGCCATTAGCAAACTTGCTGAGGGTGCACTCTATTTCTTCATCCAGGTCACCGGTGAAGATATTAAAAGCCAGTTCCTTTGGGGAACACTGCCAGCTCTAGGACTCCAGCTGAACTCTGCCTATGAGGATGCAGTGGGAGGCATTGTCCAAAACCAGTGTCAAGCTGAAGTCAGTGTACCCTATATCCACTGTTCTTCTGTCGTTTACCCAGCCAGCAGCAGCCTTCATTTTGCTATTAATATTTCTTGTTTCTTGTTCTTGATTTCCCTCACCAGAGGTAGTTCTAAGTGGGCCTCAGCCTTTCTTGCTGCATTTATGTGTGCCCTGACAGTGTTCCTATATTCCTCTGCAGTGGACAGACCCTCCTTCCATATTCCATAAACTTTCTGCTTCCAGATGAGTTTTTCCATTTGCTCATCCCGTGTGGTGTCCTGTCACCTTTGCCTGATTTCTTACTCTTAGGTATACACTGATCTTGAGCATGGAAGAAGGCTTGATATTTAACCAGCTCTCTTGGGTTCCCCTTACCCTCCAATATTCACATGGGATTTAAGAGGTCAAAATTGACTTTCCTGAAACCCAGGGTCACAGTCCTATTTATTGCCCTGTTTCTTCCATGCCAAGTTCATTTTCAGACTGGTTCACATTCTTAAACAAGTAATGCTTTACAGTGAAGTCTTTCCAGGCTTTATTTTAATCAAGCATTTTTAAAAATTCTTACGGAAAATATCTCTGAGAACATGAGAAAAAAACATCTTTGAGGGTGATGGAGCACTGGAACGGGTTGCCCAGGGAGGTCATGGAGTCTCTTTGGAGATATTTGAGACCTGCCTGGATACTTTGTTTTGCAACCTACTCTGGGGAACACGTGTTAGTGTGGGATTGGACAAGGTAGTCTACAGAAATCCCTTCTGTGCCCCATGATTCTGTGTTCATAGTTATTTACAGAATCACAGAGTTGTAGGGGTTGGAAGGTACCTCTGGAGATCATTGAGTCCAACCCCCTGCTAAGGCATTCCCTACAGCAGGTTGCACAAGTAGGTGTCCAAATGGGTCTAGAATGTTTCCAAAGAAGGAGACTCCACAACCTCTCCGTGCAACCTGGCCCAGTGCTCTGTCACCCTCAAAGTAAAGAAGTTCTTCATGTTCCATTGACCCTTGTAGCTTTGTATTGTTGGTACTACTTTTAAATAGCCCTCCTTGATATGTTGAGCACAGAAGTAGTTTTAAAGAGACTGTCACATATACAAATGAATACTTAAGCATTTTTGTGCCTTTCCCTTTCCTTAACTTTCTGTTAAGGCCCTTGTAGAGCAGAGATACTACTTTCTTCTTTCTTGCAAGAGGGATCCTTCTAAACAAATGGAGAAAGGACAGAGAGGGTACAAGTGCCATTAAGGGATTGAGCATTCTCAGTATACTTGCAGTAGTGCAACAGATTTTAGCCATGAGGTAGGCACACTGAATACTGCTGAAAATCTTTTGGCTATTTTTAAAGAGAAGCATCTTCCATTGGAATTAGCTCAGAAATCTGTTTGCACTAGTGACATCATAGGCTGTACAGATTCTGTATCAGTGTACTGATGATACTCTTCTCACTGAAATCACAGTTCTGATTATATTTTGTTAAGAGGGAAGATTTTACAACGTTAAAAGTGCACAACAAATTCTTCATCTGAAGTGGATGTTACTGCTCTGCTATATTCTGCTTGCCAGGACTGGGTGGAGGAGAGGTTCACTTGTTACAAGGGTGAAATGGCTTCAAGCCAGAAACTTGGGCTGGCGTTGCTTTTCTGTGAACATATTTCATCATCTCTTTCTAATAACACATTCCAAAATATGCTAAAATTAATCCTCAGTTTTTGTTACGCTCATTTTGACAACTGAACTGGACCTTGTTCTAACAGTTAGCTAATTAAAAAAGATCCTGAATTTTAGCATATGCAGGGCATAGAATACTGAAGGAAAAATGTTGGAAATAGAACTGTTGTCCGTTTATAGTTGTTAAGAAACAGTTTAATTCTTGAGTAAAAATACATTCCTTAACTTCTGTACAGGGCTTTTATAATCTTACTTGAGAGTAAGGCAAGTACCCAAGTACTATCAAAACCAACAAATAGCAAATAATTTCATTAAAATACTACATTTTTTTTTACTTATTTTTATGATTATCGTAGCAAAGTTGTAAATCCCTCCTGATGTTTTCATTTAATGAAATGATCTGTGCTGCACCTGAATACCTGAGTATACATGAGTAATTTTCAGCACTTATTGTTTCCCCTGCCTGCTCATACAGCTAAGTTAAAGGTACCATTCCCTTCCATGGGTGGACATACCCATGGCAGGCACACCGCTATCAGAGCTTGGCTCCCAGTTTTCTTGTCTGCCTAAAGTTTGGACTTGTTGAGGTATAGGAGTGTTTGACCATGTGGCTCAGCTGGGGAGGAGCCTGAGGTACAGACAGCCATGCTCTGCTCCAATTGAGCATGCCTGGGCTGAGTGTTGGTGTCATTTGGGTCCATGACCCCTGGAAGCAGGGTGACAAGTACGCTTGTGCCACATCCCATTGCTTGCCTGTCCAGTTTCTTGCCCAGAGGCTCGGCAGCAAGCACACAAGCAAGCTTCTAGTGTCTCTTTTTGGGCTGGCTCTGCTGCTTGGCTTGCCAGCAGGACTGGACAAAGGATGGAGAGAGTTCCCCTCTGAGTTCTGTCTGAGCAGAACTATGAATATATCACCAGAGCTGGAACTAAAAGCCGACCTGTAATGATGAGCTGCCTAGATAGACTAGTATATGATGGCCCACAGCGTGAGAGGTGGATGTTGGTGGTATAACAGTAGAAGTTCAAACTTCCCAAAATATTCCATTCTGTTTTGTTGCTGTATGACAGATGGCAGCAGGAGGGGCAGTCTGACAAACTGGCAGCTGACATAGAAATACAGATGAAGCAAGCATGTGGAGTTAAATTCCTCCATGCATAGAAACTGACACCCATTGACATTCATCACTTGCTGAATGTTTATGGTGGCCAAACAGTGGATGTCAGCACAGTGTGGGGTTGGGTGCTGCATTTCAGCGGTGACGACAGCAATACTGGGTCACCTCCACTGGTGCAGATTGTGACGAGCATGGCATGCAGGCTTTCAATATCAGTGGCAAAAATGCATAGCTAATGGTGGTGACTATGTTGAAAAAGAGTGTCTTATTTCCAGGGGAATGGATAGGAAGCATTACTTTCGGAGTGACCTATGTACTAAGCCTGTTGACAAAGGCTAACGTGACTCTGTATTGTAGGATTAGTTGTCTGGCCCCATGTGGTGTGGTGTTCGAGTTCTCCTGAAAGATCTGAAATGCAGCTCTCCAGCATGAAATGCTATTTTTGAGATAGTCTTCAGGAACAAGCCCATCAGGCAGGAATAGCCAGAGCATTTCCCAGGTTAGAT